CCCAACTGCATCGTCTTATGTTGTGTACTCAGAAATATATCTATTTTAGCCATGATTTGAATCGACAAATCACGAATGGCATGTGCACAAAAAATGGATTTTCATTTATGAATGAACTGGTTACGATTTCGTTGGCGCAATTCATAAATTTATCAAAAAACGTGAGCTCATGCTTTTTTCACCTTTTTGCCTCATTCGCTCTTTGTGCAAAACCTCCTTATTGCGAGTTGTCTTGTTGTGTTTAGCTTTTCTGAAGAGTTTGAGACATTAGGTACTTTTGTGAATTGCGCCGTAGATTTTCTCATTCTGTGAATGAATAAATTTTCTATGAATTCTTTTGAATGGAAATCTTTTTATGAATGAAAACTGTACGAAAAGCTAATTATTTTGCAGTGCATAATATGCACTTCAATTATAATTCTGCCATATAATTTTCCAGTCAATTCTTCAAGAATGTTTATTTTCGTTAATCCATCGTATTTTCTTGGAGTGTTTTCATTCTCTCATATAATCATCGATACCAAAGATATCAAGTCACAATTTACGGAACGAAAAAAAGACTGCCCAACATGTACTTCATATGAAAGCTGTACCACGTAAAAGAGAAATGAGTTAATTGTGTCATATGTTTTTTGACAGTAAGCAGCAGCCACTCAACCAGCCGAAAATAAAAACCATGAATTTAAATCCCATTGAGACTCGATTTTTGAGAGAGAGAGAGAGAGAGAACAACAACAGAAAAATTGCAAATAGGCGATTTAATGGTATTTAAGCCTGATTTCAATATTCGAAACGAATTAATTCAAATGTTTTGCAATTAAACGACTAAATAAGGAAAAGTGAATGTGTGGGCTTCTTGTTCGATTACTGGTTTGATGGTTGTTTCTGTTGTAGTTGTTATTTTTCTCTTCTCTCCAGCTATGCATGCTTTCTTGCATATTGAACGCACGTCAAAACCACCGAAACGGTGCCATTAATTTGGTTACAACTGTGTGCGCGCAAGTTTTTTTTGTTGATTTGCATAACGTTAAGTAACCACATGTACTGGGCCTGCTGTTACAATGGCAATAACAATAGCAATTATTGACGAGTGAGAACAATGCAAAGACAAAAAAACAACAACACAGAATTAGGTTCAAATCAATTTGTTTAGCACTCACATTATTGTAATATCCATATAAATAAAGTTGTGATTGAAAAATTGACAGTTATTTTGTGAGATGTGTATAGTGTATTGCATATTGGGGGAGAAAATTGGGTGCAGCCAATTAAAATATAAACCGTGTCGATTTTTTTTGGTTTCGTTCATTTTCTTGACTACATGATTTAATTTTAATTTACAATTTTCTGAGAAAAGGAAAATCGAAACACATGTTTTGAAATGTGAAGCCACTTTGGACGCATTCCTGTTTTTACGACTATTTGTGGGAATTTTATTTTGTTGTAAACAACTCTGTAAATAAATTTCGTAAAAATTCACCGTTGAATGATGATAATTAAGTCGCGCGAAAATCCACATTGTCAATTGGCTGATATCGTGCACACGTAACAACGATTGCGTGCTCATTTTCGGCGAGGGAAAAAATAGATTATATTTGTCATCATTTTTTTATAATTTGTTTGTGAGCCCGCCTTGTTTTTATCCCTACAGATTACCAAATTGTCTATTCTTAGCATCAAACGTCACCGTAATAACATCATAATGAGCAGATGAATTAAGTGTCTATACTGTCGTCACATATACTTTCCGGCCTATGCGATCCGGTCGAAATGCTCATCGATATAAAAACGTACAAACAAAATGTTATTAGACGATATGACCAAAGAAGCACCCGAAAGGAAATATATAGCAACAAGTGAGCTATTTTCGTTAAGATGATGCCATTTGTTAAACATTTCATTCGATGAAGCTGAACCATTTTATCGAGCGCGTTCACGAACACTCTCGTTGGTTCTGACACCGGCAAAAACCACCATTCCCAACACTTTTGCCAATAAATGTCAACAAAAACAAAATGTTTATTGCTAGATGTGGCACAGGCTTGGTTATGAATAGTTTAAACGAAAGAAAAAAAAACAGATTTCTTTGCGGCGAGTCTTTAAATCGATCAAATGAAAAATAAAACAACCGCTTAATTCCCGCCTTTTATTGAAATTTATTTCTTTGTTTGTGTGTGTGTTTTTTTGTTGCTTTGTGACTCGTGCTGGAGGGCATATGTACGTATGAATGAAAGATAGTTGTGTGTGACAAATGCTAGACATCGAAATTCAAATATAAGATCGCGCCAAATGTATGAACGAGACATTAAAATCGATTGTAATTGGCCGGAGCGAGATAGAGGAATGAATGAAATAAGAAGAAAAAAGTGTTGAAGAAGAAGTGTATGTACACACACACAATATCATAACAGGACAAATATAGAAAAAGAGGTTGGACTCTATATATGGCCCACGCGAAAGATTTTGACTTCCACAATAACTTGTTGCTGTGTATATCTTCTGCAACTGTTGGCAGCTTACCCATAAAACTTAACTTATACTCAGCGAATTAAAGCGTACGCGAAAACGTATAGCGTTGAGGAGAACAAAACAAAATCGGGAGATAGAGAAAGAGAGAGAGATCGAAACTGAGCACGACACATGCGTTGGAAATGTACAAATACGAGAAAATTAACGAATAAAATACACATATATACTCATAGTCAAATCGCTAAAATGTGCATGTTTGATTCATGACGTCGCACGCACACTTGAATGAATGCGGACGCACGAGAGAATTAATATCAATCTACAATTTGAATAACGAAATCAAATAAATCTATAATCGAACAATTTGATACGATCTGTGACATTTAATTGAATGCGAAAAACTGCTTTTCGATTGACGCTCGCTCGGTCACGCATTTCAATCCTTTTGCGGTAACCAAATTTGCGAGCGTGCCCATTACATCGTGTGCATCGCTTTATCAATTTCATTCTCGATTCATCGTGTGTTTGTGGAATTTTCTCAACGCAAAGCTTTGCGGTCGGCCGTTCGTCTGTAGCATTCGCTCACGAAGCTTGGCTTGGCTTGGTGTGTGTTTCTGCCTTCATCGTTTGCATTAATGTATGCGCTTACGTGTATGTGTGTGTTCGTGCTCTGAAAATGAAAAAAAGCAACAGGCGAATATGTGATCATAACAACCGGCTTCAGCACACAAAGCACACATTCATTACATTTGACTTCGACTAAAAAAACATATTTTATTCCGTCGTCGGTGCAACTGAGCACGAAAAAAAACTACCAACAATCGTAACACTTCAATTTAATATCCAAAAATTATTTCAAATCTTCATTCGTTTTCACACGTTCATTTTCCGCGCGTTTATTGTTTGCATATTTTTTTACGTGGTGTTTTTCTCGATTTTTTCGGTGAGATTTGCTAGCTTTTTTTTAAATTCGTCATTATTTCCCGTATTTGATCACAATCGTGCTAATTGAACCAGTGAATTGACTGTAATAAAACCGAGAGCAAAAATCCGTTCAAGTGAATTAAAGTGTTTTTCGATGAAATGTGTGGATGTGAATTGAAAGAAAAGTTCATCGGTAAAAATAGAGAGATTTTCCATTTCTTTGGTGAATATTTGATGGATGTGAGTGTTTTTATTTTTTGCGGTTAATGTGGAACACGAGATCAAAGTATGCTCAAGTGTTGGCAATCATTTACGTTCGGTCCATCAATACTCTACGAACAATTCACATGAAACTACTTTAGAAACCCATAAATTTTGTACTTCTTAAATCATATTTGGGTCAGGAAAATAGCGGCTATTAAGAATCAGTGTCAACTGCGAAAAAAAAGAGTTAAAAACAAAACGAACACTTGGAAACGAGTTAAAGGTGAACATTTTTTTTTTCTCGATTACTTCATTTAAAACATTTTCCTTTTTTACGACACATGTCTTCTCGTTAAATGCAGTTTTTCTACATATGTTGAAGATTACTAGTTTAAATGAAGTCAAAATGTCCTCTTTTTGTACAAACACAAAACGCGTACATTTGACACTCTCAATGTCATCGCCGACAATTGCAAAATAAACCGTCAAAAAAAAAAACGTTAAACAACGATCTCCTTATGGAAACATAAATAAAATTGAAATACAATTCAGCAGCGAGAAGAGAGGTAGAGAGGAAGAACGCGCGATCGCATATATACAACGCGAAAATCGGCAAGATCAAGTGTGAAAAATGAATGCAAAATTTTCTTTATACGAACACTATTATGACTAATTCGAATGGTAGTTGGTGCTATTCGCCGTAAGCGCATACCAAAAATAACGAATAATTGAAATGAACCTCAAATACAAGTCGTAGAAAAATCAACAACTACGACGAAAATGCAAAACATATATATCGACCAAAGAATTTTCACACACTAAATACACGAATCACAGTCGAAGCTGAACGAAAAATATTGGAATATACATAGAAAACATTGCGCACTTGTAGCGCACATATCGTTCAACGTACAAACATATCAATAAAATTGAAATAAATAAATAAATACGATGCGGAATTATAAGCACATAATTTACAAAATTTTTCACATGTTTTCAAAGTCGCTTGTTTTCTTACAGAAAAAAGGAAAGAAAAGAGATAAAGAGGGAGAGAGAGAGAGCACCCGACTGAGAGTTCGAAAGAAAAGTGGCTCGGAAATTGAGCTTAAACGTGAAGATGAGCTACGTGCAACGGTCACATTTGTAAGGCAATGTAAAAAAGGAATGTTTTGTTCGTGCTCACTCTAGAAACGAAATAAACATTCAACGACAACAACAACAGCAACAAAATTAAGCCGAAAATACTACGCACCGCGACTATAACCGTCGTTCGTCTATGAGAGCATATTTAATTGCCGTCCGAGACGTCGGTCGATTTTTCTCTCTTTCTTCATCACACACGGCACGCTCCGGAAAAACCTTTTGTTAGTTTAGTTAGTTAGTCAGTCACTCAGTCAGTCGGTCGAATCGAAACATTGCTCTTGTTTTTTCGTTTTGAAAATATTTCATCTATTTCGCGAAAAGTGTATATTTTCCTTGCCCTACCAATTAGCGGCATTTCTCTTGATCGCTTCAGATGCATCATATGCGATAATGCAAACGCGATTCTTGCAATTTGTCGAACGTCCAATAAAAAATTTGTGATTTCGTTCGGTCGATATATAGTGTGTAGTACATTTCGCAACGTTTTTTTTTCGATTTGAAATTTTTTTCTTGTTAGTGAATGTGTTTAATTTAAGCAGCAATAAATTTTTGACACAATTTTCATTTTGCGAGAATTCCAATTTTGTGGTGTGAAAGCGCAAGAGAATAAAAAAAAGAAAAAACCGACAGTTCAACACGTTTGCACGATCAACATCCATTACATTTGATTACTGTGCTGGCCTTTTCAAATGTACGTTTGTATATGTGTGTCAATTTTAAAATTACATCAAAAACCCATAAAGAGTGTGTGTGTGTGTATAGGAATGGTGCAGAGTGCGCCGCATACTGCACTTAAAGTTGAAAAATGCCGAAAATAAACAAATGTCGATCGAATTCAAAAGCGTCACTCTGCTCGATATTTTCGATGATCTACTCTCGAATGCACGAAATTCAGTCTCTCTTTCTCTTCGATTTCAATACAAGTTCGAGTAAGTGTTTGCACAGTTCGGCGCTCTCACTCTCGCTCACTCTTCCGACTCAAACTCTTTTTCATCAAACACTGTCGAGACCGAACACAGATGCGATAGCAACAAAAGCGAAACACTTCAATTTTTGAAACACCACTTGTTTCTATTTTATTCGATTTGAAATCATCACCTTCATCGCAACAACCAAGAATCATTACAATGTATATTTATTTGCATGCTCAACCACATACATATAGCACGAGCAACATGAGCAACGCGAGCCTCAACAACGGCCAATTAAGACGATCTCAATAAATTTTATTTCAATTTGTGTTCAGTTTACACAAGTTGATTCCATTATAATGAATAAAATTGAAAAGAAAAAGGAATTAGACACGTTAAAATACCTCACTTTATCTATATATTCCAATTTAATGAATTGCAAATAGGCAACGACTGAAACGGCCTGAAAATGGGACGAAAAAACAACAAATACACAATGTGTAACATCAAAATGAATTCATTCGAAGGAATTTTTGATCAAATGAAAACTGAAAAACATTTCTTAATTTTGTGCTCTTTTTCAACGTTGTTGATGAATTCTGTCTCTCTCTGTTTTCTTTTGCTTTTCGTCGATTTTCATTTTTATTATTCGCGTATGCGCCCGATGTCGAAAGTGTTGATATTAACATTCAACATTTAGACTCATATATTGCTTTGGTATGTAAACTGATTCAGTTTAACTGAAATCATTTTTATTCGACCTTTTTGGCCGATCCGTCTCTGTCTATTTAAAATGTGGTCAATTTCGAAAATCGACGGATCGCGACGGAGAATGGCAATCTTTGTTATCGTCTGTTGCGATGAAAATTGCTACTGTGTGACATAAAAAATTGTTCACGAGATTTATTTGGTGTACGATGGTCTAATTCTGTATCAGATTATTTCGGATCCATTTTTTACACAAGCGTTATAATAAATTTTCCAAGTGTCCGCGAACTAAAAAAAACACACACACAAAATCAAATTGATATGAAATTGTGACATTTTTATGTGTGTTCAACACCGGCAGTTTGGGTTTTGTCATCGCAGTGTTTTCGTCAAAACACACAAACATTTTTGATTTGAAATATGGACGGCAATCAAAACGATAGAAATGTGAACAAAGTTAAGTCGGGCATGAGCCTCAATTCGTGAGAAATGATGTTCGTTTTGATGCTATTTTTAGTGTATTACATACACATTACTATACACTGTATATTTTTCATCGCGATGAAATCAGTGACAATTGATATGTCAACATTAGTTTGATGTTGATCTTTCTCCGCTCTAACTCGTATTCGATGTGCATGGTGTGTATGCACATGTCATAAATACAGACTGTGAATGAAATCCTTCGAAATTTGCGCAGAAAATAGCAACAACAATCATGACAGCATTTAGCTGCATTTGGCAAACATAAAAGTAAAACATGATTTTTCTAATTTATGACCGACAAAGACCGTTCTTGTAGTTACAATATATTTTTTTATCAAATATTATGTGCTCATTCGTGTGTTCTTTTGGAACACAGATGTCAAAATCAAAAGAAGTAAGACTAAACCGTCTATATAGAACGTTACCCCTGAGGTTTGGGCATTTTTTTCGATTTGCTAGGATTTTTGATGAGCGAAATTCTTTCGATTTGCTACGGTTTTTTGAGCCAAATTATCCCTTTGTAATCCAATTTTCATCCAAGTGGAATCAAAAACTGTTGAATGGACCATAATATTCAACCACGCTTAAAAACAAGCGCTTGCTCTTATTTCTACGCTTATCCATATACTCTATGTTTAAAAAATGCATCGCATGCTTTCTGTATTAATGCTCCCACTTTTATTTGTATATGGATAAGTGCAGAAATCAGAGTAAGTGCTTGTTTTTAAGCGCGGTTGTATGTTACGGGGAGCTTTGGAAAAGTCTTTCAAATTGCTAGCTTTGGTAAAACTTTTCAGAATTAATTAATTGATACTATGGTTTTAATGAATAAAAACTATGGTTTTAATTCTATTTTACTCTGATTTAATTCTATTTTGCCATCTGTATTTGCGAAGATACACGAAACATTTTAAAAATCCATCTCGTAGGTGATACAAATTTGCTCTTATTTGCTGTGCTAACAACCTACTCTAGAAAAAAAATGCGTTTTTTTTTTCAATAAAATAAATGACGCTCAATTCAAGCTTAAAGTATTTCAAAATTCAAGTGGCTGCTGTCTGAAGATTTAGCACATCGTTTTTATTGGATATGGTGAAAATATCGCAAAGAATGATTTCAAACCAATTAAATAGTGATTCTTTAACAAAAAAAAACAATGATATTAAATTCTTTCGAACCGAGAATGAAGTATTGCAATTCAATTATAATTATTCGAAATGAAGTGGGTTAATAAATTCGTTTCGTATTAGCCAGTTTATCAGGCAATCAAAATAAAGAAGACGATCTCCTGCGACCGTTCAAAGTGAGCATTGGAGGTGCAACGGCGTCAAGTACGTTGTTGATTCAAACAAAGAATTCCATCATTGATGTCTGCTTCAGTTAAATTCATCGATATCAATTCATTTGATTTTTGCACTAACAATGGGCGAATGAAAGAAATTCGGAGATTAAAATAAATTTTATGATTTCACAAAGATAATTTTTATTTTTTTTTTTTTCAGATATACTCACATCTTTTATTCCAAATTAAATCTAAATTTAACGTTGAAACGTGAAGTAAAACATGAGCAAAACAAAAACAACTGCGTGTTGAAGAGAAAAAAAAGACATAAATTAATTTATCAAAGTGACAAATTTTGAACACACGGCGTGTGAGTGAGTTTTAAAATAGAACAGTGTTGAGTGTGAAATCAATAACTTTGAGAATTTGATTTGTTTAAAAAAAAAACACAAATGAAAATGTTAGCGATGCGTCGTGAAAACGATCAAATCTTTGGCAGTACAAACACCAACGCCATAAATAATAGCACAATTAGTGATACGAATGATGCAGTCGCTGATAATTGTTGCAACACCTATCAAGAAGGTAAGTCGATCAAAAACTATCGATGTTTTAGTAGATTATATGGACTCGAGATTGATGTCATTAATTTATTGTTTTATACTAAAACAAAATGTTCAGACTCCAGATTGAATAATGTGGCCAATCCATCTGGGCTCGAAGAATATGTGGATATATTGCAAGTGCAGCAATTATTATTGGATTCGACACCGTCCACAATGCCGATTTCCACAGCAATTACATCAAGTTCATGTGTCTCATCAAATACGACAACCAATTCGATGTGCACACAACGACAACGGCCACGTGTCAATATTCAAAAAGCAACCGAATATTCAACAACAATGGCCAACACGGGCTGCGCATTAACGCCGTCTGCTCAACTTCAAGGTACGTCGAAGAATTCCAAACTCTCAAAATAATACACTAACGAAACGCATTTAAAATATGAGAAGACAAGTTTTAATGCAAATAAATGATAAGTATTCATTTAATGATAAAAGTCGCTCAATAAATGTCGCACTGGAAATGAGACGAACAAGAAAAACGATAAATGTACTGCATTTCATAACATCTTTGACTTGGTTCATCTTTCAACGCGAACTACGCATTTTATTTCTTGTTCGTTTAATCATTTTTCATAAATCGTCTACATTTTGCATATTTATTTAATACACAAATGACAAAAAGGTTCTCGTTCTCGTTTAACTTTGGTCTATATAGACTATAGTCTGATGCATATTCTTAGTTGACAAAATTTATGTACTTAAAATGCGACACATACCGATAAAGATGCCATATTCAATGCATTACCAGGATATTTTTTTGACGCATATTATTTCTTTCCCATTTTTTTCGCAATCTGCTATGTGCCGGTGTCAGTCTGGCCGGGAGTTTTTTTTTCTCTCGCTTCATTACCAGTTATCACTTTGTCAACGCAACAAAATACCTGAAATAATGCAGTTATTTAAAAATTATTTGTTTCGATTAAATTCAATTAGCTGGATGAATTATTTATCGGCATTGAGAAGATTTCAGCTAGAAGCCGGACAGGATTTACTTCTCTCCCTTTCTATACCTCTCTCTCTCTATCATTGCTTATATATTTACTTAACGCAAGCTTGAACTAGTGTAAATCAATCAGTTGTTTTTCTTTTAAATTTGTAATTCGTATCAAAACATTATTTAGGTGATTCACCAACAAGGCGACTGCTATTGGACTATCCCAGTCCATATTTATATGGAAATTATCACACATCACCGAGCGAAGATCTTGTTGCACTTTGGTTCGGAACAAATAGCTCAGGTTAGCATCACATCTATCTCTCATCACACAAAAACACAAACCAATAATTCGTTGCATAGCAAATTATTTTTCTTATGTCTCTTCTGTGTTGTGAGTCAGTGTTGTACTGTACACACTTCTGTAACAGAAATATTTCTTTAACAAATTGTGGGAAATATTCTCATTGTGGCCGCTAATTAAAACCAATTTTAATGTATCTAAATTAATGTAGAGTTTTGATGTATATTGACAAAAAATGTTTCAAGTATGTGAAACTAAATATTAACACTTTTGTCTGGCGTAGTTCTCGTAAACTATTAAATTTTTATTATTCGATTTGAATGTCGAATTGTTAGTCATAAATTGTGGATTCGCCGTCATAGCTGCCGAAACCGATGCCATCGCTTCATTTCTAAATTTTATTGGTTATTATTGGAGTCCGCCGTACAGCACTGTACAATACTGTACATTGCTACAGTGAGCTCTGATGAGAACCTGTCAAAATCATTCAAATTACTAAAACATATTATGCGAGTCGCTTTTGAAACATTGAATTATGCGTGCGTCGTTGCGTTTGTTTCATTTTTTTTTTGTTTTTGCCTTTCTCAAATGCTCAAACCAACTTTAACTAATTATTATACACAACTGTATCGGCCATTTCCGCTGACCTGCGTTAATTTGACTTATTAAATACAATTAACGTTAGTAACACCATGTATCAGCATTGAATGTGCTCTGTGCACTGGTCGCTCACAATGTGACTTATATTTCAAGTGAACGGTTTTACTTTCAAAATGACTATAAACTGTGTGGTTGCTTAAGCAACAATTGCATTGTCTATGAGCATTTAGAAATGATGACTGCGGTTTGTGTAACACATACAAATCATGTGTGATCAATCTGAAAAAAACTTTGAAAATGAAAATTTCATTGCAACATAAAAAAAATAAATGTAAATATCAAGTTGAATTGTCTCATTTCAAATGATCCTTGTTTTGTGAAGAGTCTATCATGTGAAGAATAGCAGAAATGTCATTTGTCTGCTATTTAGTCGCAATGCATTTGTCACATTTGATTGTTATGATTAGCTAGTTGTGCAAATCAGACGAAACAACATCAGCAGCATACACACGTACACACAAGACGACGATAAAATAAACTTAAAACAATAATGTGCTGAATTTAAAATTAAACTGAGACGGTCAAAATGGCGAACCAAACAAAAGTGAAAAGAAAAAGATCGGCATTATACGCGTGCAAAGCGGAAGAGAGAGGGAGGGAGAGAGAATGGTCACCGAAATAGCCGAAACAATTTGAGATAATTAAATTTTTTGACGAGAAATGTGTGTGTGTGTGTGTACAATTACTCGTGGATACAGTCAGAGTGAAAAAGGAAATCAAATATTTGCTTTGATTAAATTTAATCAGTATGTTATGTGCACGATGTAATTATCTATCTCGACGTTTTGATACGTAAAGAGCAACGCCTGAAAAACGCGAAAGTCTTCGAAATGCGAAATTTAATGTTAAAACGAAATGAAAAGAACAGAGACTATGCAATGCAGTTGCAGATACAGTAGCAAAAACAACAAAACGGCCAACCACATATAACAACTGGTGTTTTACAAGACGAATTGGCATTTGGGAACAGTGGCTAATTACGCACTTTACGATGTGATTAAGATTGTGTTTAAATCATTTCAAAACAAAAAGGAATTCACTTCATTTGCTTCAACTCACACGTATCAATGCACACACAAAAAAAGGAATTTCCTTTTGGTTGGTGAAATGCGCAAACAAGACAGAGAAAGAGAGAGAGAGCGAGCGAGCGCAAAAGGAAGAATGAGAAAAAAGAAAGGTTATGTCTACTGAATTCGATGTTATCACATATATTTCTTTTTATGTACGAAAAAAAGTGTATGTCTGACTGAAAACTTGTGAAAACTAATATCAATTCATACATAATTTGTTAAATCGATTGAGTATTTTTATTGGTTTTTGTTTCGTTTTTTTTTCTCGCACGAAAGAACTGTTGTTTTTTATGTTCTCATCTTACCGGGACCATTAAGTGGCTTGTGTACTAGCTTGTGTGTGAACGTTTAGTCTTGCAGTTTTCATATTCTGTTGAACATTTGCATATTTGATCTTTGTCTGTGTTTGTGCGCTGTTTGTCTTTTGCGTTCTACCGTGGTTCAATTTTCATTTTCAAGAAATTACTTTTACGCAATGATTTACACTCACCGCGTCTTGCACCGCGTACAACCACATTAGCCATTGCTTATGTGAAAATACGCGTATCCGAATCGTTTTGTACGAAATTTTCGTGAAACGAGATAAAATGGCACAATGAGCCAACGAAGACAGCATAAAAGTGCGACACGCGAAAAAAAAGGTACACAAAGACGAAAACTTCTACAAGAAAATGCCACCTACATAAAACGTAGCAGTTTTTGCGTTTGATCATATGGTTGAAATGCGGTATTTTTCTTCGGTCAATGTTTGGTACTACGATGTTTTCGTTGGGTGTTTTTTTTTTATATTTTCGTCAATTTTGGCTTGTGCAGTTCATCTCTTGCCGTAAATCTCAAATATCTCTTTTTTACTCGTGTATTCGTTTATAAATGCGTACTTCTACCGAGCATGTTGCGTTTGGCTCATTTCCATTACATCGTACAATACATGTTTTTCGTGTCGACTATTTTGAGATACTAATAACATATCTTGGTCTCTCTCTCTCTATGCTGTGTTCACGCTCCTTTCTTCCATTTACGCGCCATGTACCTTCAAACTTTAATGTTTATGCGAGAAAACGGTGTACTCGCAAACCATTCATTGATCATATCATTTTCAATAACTTGGTTAGTTCTCAGGTTTACGTATTCTCTCTCTCTATCTGTGTGTCTGTGGCCGTTGCTCATTGTGCTTCGCTGCCAGTTCGTTGGAACGTTTACACCAGCTCAAATTTATCAATGAATTTTTAGTATACACATCAGATAAAACATCATGCTAAATGAACTTCAAGAATAGTTTTTATAAACAAGTTGAAACGTTGACTTTTTTCTATCGATATGTATTAAAAGTTGTGGAAAATAAAAACACAAATTACGACGAAAAAACTTCGAAAAATACTTATAATAAGTAACTGAACGTAAATTGAGATTTAAATTCATTGTGGGTTTATTTAATGAACTTTGTATTTATGTTTCAACTTCTGTTGAATATTAAGCTCTTGTGTTTTTTAACAATTAAATCAGCTGTTCTCAAAATCCTTAATGAAATGTTTTTTTTTTATTTTTATTCGATTTTGCTCAGAAAAACCTCTTTAGAGAAGAGTTTAAGTTTTAAAAAATTGATAGCTTGAAAGAAAGAATACAATCATAGATTTCTTCGAGCGTTCGGTTGGTTGGCCGTTCGGTGAAAAGTGGCACACGTGGTGTCAAAGTACAAAATTTATGTTCTTTTAATTTAGTTATTAATTCTCCATATTCGAATGGATAAATCCAGAGAATTGAAAATTTATTCAAAAAATGACAGTGTTTCATCATCGTTGAAATCAATTAGAAGAAGCATTATGGAAAGCCCAACGAAAAGAATAATCAATTGAGATGAACACCTTTGAGAGAGTTTACCAAAATAGGAAATACACATGGCCATGCTGTGCTGTATCGGTTTTTGTCTGTATGTAACATTATCGATGGCTATTATAGATGCTTATTAATTCGGCTGTTGTTTTCAACATGAATCGTGTGTAATGCATTATTCAATAAGTTGTGGTTTCTTCATAACATTTTTTTTCATGAATGAAAGAGAAGGGCTTGTTTTGATGAATGAAAATCGATTTTGTGTGTTTGCGTGTAGCCGTGTCATACCGTCATTTTGTTTCGCTGGTTTCTCTTCATCAATTTATGTGCTAAGTGCGTAGGATTTGTTGTAGTTATTTGCTTTTGGTGTTTACAACCACTGCTCACTCAGTAGTAAAACAACAACAGCAACAGCAACAACAGCCACAGCGTATATTCAGCCGGGTTATTTCATTTCGTTTGGATCATTCATAATATCGAATAAAAAAAACTGAATTAAGATAGCATGCATATATCGAATACTGAAAAGAGATGAACAAACGCGTGGTAAAAAGCAACAAACTTTTGCTATAAAAAAACATCAACGAAAACATTGAATAAAAAAAATCTTACTACAACAGAAAAAATACATAAACCATAAGCATTGAACAGAAACATTAGAAAAACGTATGAAATTGTCGATTTTATCATTTGAATTTTTTCGTTTCATTTTGCTTTGCGCATTTACTTGGCGCGATATAGCATTTAAATATGTTGCATATTTTACACATATGGCAACCTCACACCAATTCACCTATAATAAAATTATTGAGCGCGGTTTTTTGTTGTCTTCTTTTGCTATAACTGTTGCTTGTTTCGGCTGTCGTCATCACAGAACTAAGCGATAGAGTAGTTCGAATTTTTTTTATGAATGAACCCACACTCAGTTTGAAGGTTTATTAATTTATTATTATTTATGTGGAAAGTTGTACAGTGTACACTCTTAAAGCGATATGTAGAATATATTATAGGACAGGGCATCATTGACGGTTAAATCAATCACTATCAATCTATCAGCGCCATAAATGCTATCAATTTCAGGATTGTGTAGTGATTACGATGAAAACGAAATCGAGGAAGAGATTTGTTTGATAGATTGGCCAAATTCACAGGTATATCGACTCATGATTAAAAAAACAATCATTTCTACTCGTTCAAATATGTATGCGAGTAAAAACGAGTGGTTGATTTCATTTCTGACACTTTAATCACATGTTTGGTATTTGAACCGAATGGAAGCAAAGTGAGAATGAAAAAGGAACGTAAAAATACAACAATGTATATATACATATAATGAAATAACATGAACATTACATAAAAAAGAAACACACGGTTTGTGACACGAAGTGCATTGCTGCACGTAGACACACATCGCGTACGCTTGAGCATCTGGTGTTGTGC